TCTTTCTTTCTTTCTTTCTTTCTTTCTTTCTTTCTTTCTTTCTTTCTTTCTTTCTAAAAGACAGTAGTCTTAAATTCTGAAGCCCGGGATAATTTTCAACTCCCACACTTTCTGTGTTGCCCTGGACTCACTTTTATCTATGCTCTAAATTTCTTATACATCTCCATCATTAGATTTTCTAATCTTGCTTTTCAGCATGATTTCTGTCTTGTCTTGGGTCTCCCCTTGCCTGCTGTCTGATGCTTAGTAGCCAGCCTAGACAGACAGCAGTAAGCGCCAGAAAGAAAGGAAACAGTGGGAAGTAAAATAGGAAAGCCTTCAGAACATCACCACAATATCTAGCGGCCTGCTGCCAATGAAAACACGGAGACTCGTGCTTATTGATTCCACCCAACAGAGGCGAAGACTCAAAGGCAGATGCATTGATCTTTCACTCAGACGATTCATGCAGATGTTGTATGCAGGATGTGAGTTCTACTTAGAGTCCAGGCAGCACGTTGCGGAATTGCACAGGGCACTTCGACTGTCATTAGGTATGGTAGACGCTCAGTTAGCATTTGGTTCATTGAGTGACACTGTAACCTCACAGGATCAAGGACAAATAACGCCATTTGTATTCTTCTTTGGATTGCAAACTGTGCCTAACATAGAGGGAGAATGAATCACACCCTCCGGAGAATGACTCCATTAGATGACATCACACCCACATCCTGCTTCCATCGTTTTGCTCGCTTTGCTAACATTCATGCACCGTCCACACTTTTAGCCTTTTGTCTTTGTTTTCATTTCAAATACTCTGTGCCTACGCTTTCTTATTCTTTCTCTCTTCTTCTCACTCTTTTCATCTTTTTCCTTTTCTCTGTCTCTAAATCGTTTAAACTCCTGTCACATAACTTATCCATGCCAGGCGCCCCTGAGATCATCATTCTACTGCTCACTTTTTTGCATTGTTTTCAGAAAGTTATGTTGGGGTCCAGCCTGGATAGGTTCATACGTTCCAGGGTAGGGGCGTGTGGATTAGAAATGCTAGGCAGAAAAACAAAAGAGAAACCAGACAAAAAGACAGGACTCAGGAGAGAGTTGGGAGGGCAACCCAGTGAATACTGAATCCACCCACCTTTTATACCCATATGCTTTATATCCCAATCCAAAAGTGGGGGAGAAGGCAAGACTGCTTTACCATGATATAAACAAGAAACAAAGTAATTACCTCTTCAATACCCAAAACATCAAGCCACTATATCCTGAGTTAAGTATTCTGTTGTTTTGGCAGGACATGAAGTGACCACACCCTAGGCCAAGCATCCTGTAGGCAGGCACAACCCGGGTCAAATCTCTGTCATAACCTTGAAGGAGCAAGAATAGGCCTGAACTCTCTGACCTCTGGTCAAGGTGGAACAAATTCATATTTATGGTCTCTGACAAAAGCATGCTCTGTTTGACATCACTGTAATCTGAGCTCAGCACAGAGTCCATGACAACCAAGTCACAGGCATGTCCAGGCATCTTTCCTTCCTCTCTCTGCTGCATCCTTAACCTCTTTTCTGCCAAGAGAGTGGACCACAAGAAAACTTGTGACTTGCTCCCATCTCGACTTCTGTGCTACTAGAGGGATGAATTCAGACTGGGAGCATCAAGACAAAGGTCCTGTCTGTTGTCTGTGTCAGGTGAATTGGTTTTCAGGCTTCCCTCTGTATTTCCCAGAGACAGGAGCCAGGCTCTGCTACCCAGTGGGTCTTTGGTTCTCTGGTAACTCCTTGCATCCTCTTCTTCTGTCCCTTCCTTTTGTTCCTTCCCTGATTTATGAGCTGCATGTACATGATGCTGAGCACCATGTCTACACAAATGCTTCTCTACTGTCCCCCACCTGTCCTCGCAATACAAAAGGTTATAGAACAGTCAGATGAAATGAATGCATCTTGCTTTAATGGTTCTTCTGCATCTGTGGGTGCATTCCATCTGGTCCTGGTAACTGATAGAGTCTTCTGCTGTAGTTTTATACCCTGCTTCAAAATGGTACACCAAGAACTTAGGCGTGTTAATATATTTAGTTGTTGTCATAGTTTAATAAATGGGAATTACCATCTACCCAGTATGAAAAAACATATCCCAAGAATAGCACGTGAAATGAATTGTCCAAAGAGCCACGGTAAACAGAAGAGGCTTGGCAAGCTGGGCTGATAACTGGCTTCTTCAGCACTTGGTATTTCTTTCGGTGAATGACCACAATTAGAGGTGCCACGCTAGAGGAATTCCAGTATACACACCAGACTCCTATAGCATAAAAGAATATAAAGAGCCCCC